ATATTCATTTGTAGGTTCGGGTGAAGATGCCCGAGGATTGTTAGTGATGAATTTGCGGAGTTGGATTTGCCCGCATGCATCGTTGACCGCCGTTTGGTTTATGCAAGTCCGTTAGTTTACCGAGGATCTGGATGAAAGGCTCCTCTTGGAGATCTCCTACTCCTAGCCTTTTTCATTTCCATCGTACGGATACCTCCCGGTAAGAGGCTTGACAAATCACTGGAACCAGCGAATCAAAAGCTAAAGCATCATGTCAATTCCAAAACCCCATGAAATCCTGACATGGTTTATGACTAAGTCGCAAAGAGTCTCTCTATCCACGTGGTATCACACTCTACTTCTTCTCTAATTCCAACTCTTGGGCCTACCGCTCGCTCACTGCATCTACAGCTTCAGTCCCATCTTGCGAATTTCACCTCCATACCAAGCCTTCAAAGATGTGTTAGCTCGTTGCAATATTCCAGACTGACGCGTAACAAGATGGGGAACTTACCGACTCAGCGCCAGCGCCGATGGCCTTGATTCCGAGCTTAGTAGCGATCCAAGGTGCCTCAATCTTTCTCGCGTACAGCTTGGCATCTTCATCTTTCACATCAGCAGCCAAGATGGTGTTCTTGGGCAACAAAGGGTTGAGGACTGCCGGTCTTCCAATGCCAATGATGTCACAGGCTTTGCTGGAGAGAGCAGCATCCATACCCTGACGAGTCCGGAAGCCACCAGTGACCATCAGAGGAACATCTGGGAAGTCGTTGCGGATGGCCTTGGCGAACTCGAGGAAGAAGGCCTCGCGAGCCTTCGTGCGCTCGGACTTCTTCTCATCGGCGACTCCAGTAGACATCTGATTCCAACGTAAGTGATGATGCGTCTCGGTTCTAAACAGTGTTGGTAACTTACCAAAGGATCTTCATAGGTGCCACCGCTAATCTCGAGGAAGTCAACGCCGGCGTCCGTGATCATCTTTAACTGCTCAATGCACCCAGCAAGCTCGGCTTGCGACTGGTGGTCAACCGAGTTGAACTTGATGCCAACACAGAACTCCTTCGGGACTGCGGCGCGAATAGCGCGGATGACCTCAACAACAATCTTGGCGCGTCCAGCGTACGAGCCGCCATATTCATCAGTGCGCTGATTGATCTTCTCTGACATGAACTGAGCCAGGAGGTAACCATGGGCGGCATGAATCTCAACACCCGCGAAACCCGCGTCTGAAGCGAGCTTGGCCGTGAGTGCGAAGCGGCGGACCACGTCTTTGATGTCATCAATGGTCATCTCACGCGGGGTGCCGAAGAGGAGCGAGTTGATCAGACGCGGGATGAAACCATCTCCCAGGTTCAGCGGCACCGGGCTGGGGCACAATGCCTTCTCGCGGAAACCACGCTTGCCAGCACCCAGGGGCGATTGACGGCCAGGGTGGTTGATCTGTACGATGGTCGGGGTACCATTGCGATTGCAGGCGGCGGCCCAGGACTTCCAGGCCGAGAGCATGCTATCGTATGGGATCGTTTCGTTGTACGCGACATCCGAAGGTGAGCCCAGGTACTTGATATCGACCTGCACGTTGCCTGTTGTTGGTGAGCAAGTTTCGAGCTTCAATGATGACTAAAGGATGTACATACCAGTCATCACGAGACCCCATTCACCTTCTGCCCATGTTGAATATGCGGTTTGCATCGCTTCGACTGGCAAACCCTCCTTGTCAGCCCAATTCTCAGCCATGGCGGCCTTCGAGAGGCGGTTTGGCAGAGTGAGGCCGCATTTCAGCGTCAAAGGCTTCGCGATAGCAGTGTTTGACATTTTAACGTCTAAGGTTGTGTTTCTTTTAGATCTTTCGGATAACGCTGCAATGTAAACTCAGAAAGGAATATTTGTTCAGTATATAAAAAGCGAAACGCTAGTATTTGATGCTTAACGAAGTGCTGACTGTTTCAATTTGCTCAACTGAAAAAATTCTCTTTATCTATCTTCACTTGATTGTCACCATCGCACGGCCTCGGCCCACAAAAGGGGACTCGATCCCAGTAGAAACGGGGTGGAAAGTCGGATTACAAAGACAGAACATAATCGCATCATGGCACGGCGAAACGGGAGGCTCCACAAGCCGACGGACAAGACTGCCTGTGAACTGTGCTTTGTGAAACTTGTGCCGAGGTATCGCTAATCACGAATGGCGCCAGCTTCAAGTCAGTTAGACTGAGTGGTGCGGAGGAACAATCCCGCCGATTCAACCCAGCGGAGCAGCGCAGCGGACTTGAAAAAGACAGGGGAGCTTGGGGCAAGTAAAAACTCCGCACTGCTCGGACTTACGTGGATGAACCGATTCATGAAAGTGAACTGTGAAGTTTCGATGGATTAAATTGAACGAGACTCCCGCGAATTCCAGAATGCACCGTCCGCCTCATGTCGAAGAAGCGGATCATCGGAGCCAAGTCAACCGGTGGATTACGCCCCGGATGTCTCGCCGCAGGATCCCGTTTCCGTGCCGCTCGAATGCCGGCTGACTGTCAGCACTCTGAAAAGACAACGGCGGGCTGTTTCTCGGAGACCGCCTATTTTTCCTGTGTTATGCCGACTATTTTTCCTGTGGCTATTCTATCTTATTGTCGTGCTTCTATCGTGGCCGTCGCTCCTATTGTCGTCATCGCTTCCATCGTTCGCATCGCCACTGTCGTCTCGGACAAGAGTAATTGAATACACAGGAAAAATAGGCGGTCTCGTTTCCCGGCGGAGCTTGAAGGGGGCAGTCTGTGGAACTTTCTCCAAGCTATTAGTGTGACTGGATCAATCATTCTATTCTCTGGACAGGTAGTGTTATGTCCAGCGCCCCCCATGCATTTCCGAGGCTTCTAGCCCTTTCTTCAACACACGCCACGACGATCGGATCCTCGACACTTTTGCCATTTCAAGCAGCGAGCCACATCTCAACGCACGCCATCCACGGAACGAACCGAAGCCACTGCACGCACAGCAATAACGGCATTGTCATCTGATTTATTCGTTGACAACGGAATTGAAACCACTTTCCGACAGCTCGCTGGGACGCACATGCCATAAACATTGCTCCCGTCTCCCGTGCACCTGGAAGAAAGAGCCCTTTGAAGACGCATTACTTGGGCGACAACTGAGGAAGTGGCATACGGCACATGCCAGTCATCAATCGTAAACCTACGTACGCCGAATGTCGACCCTGAGGTTCAAACTTCCTTTCCTTCGGCTTCATTACGGACGTGAGCAGACTGGTGATCAGCCGACATCCTGCTGATGCAGAAATCCTGCCAGACTAGATAGACATCCTTCTTGGCTCTCACGTCTGACCCACGTTGTGTACTACATCGCTTGGCCATCATAAGAGCGCGTGGAGGATGGAAAGCAGCCCCAGTTTCCCCAGACCACCGTTCTTCGGCTCTTACCTCCTGCCCCACGCACTACTTCGTCAGCTTCCCCGGACTCCGTCCTCTTAGAGGTCTGCAAGCCCGATGTCCCCAAGCCCGATAATCGGGCCGTTGCGGGACCCCTTAAGGTCGCGCTCTGCAAGGCCCGGCCATCGCTTCTGGCGGGGATGCCGTGCTGGCCCCTGCTCATTTCCTAGTCGTTCACCATCAAATGCTGCCCGCGTGATTTTGGCAGCGTGAGTCAGGGAAGGTCAGCATCGGTAAAAGTCGCAAGGGTGCCAGACATCACCATGGCCTAAAATCGCTATACATCAAGCCGGCGAAGCATCGAAAAAGAACGGCCAAGACACCTGATCCGGAAGATGGACCGGTTTGCTGTCAACATGAAGCATCGTCCGACACTTGAAAGGAGGGGAATGAGGAGCTGATGATTGACCGATCGTCAGGTACACCAAACAAGCTTAAAATGTGTTCCTCAGTATGGTCCGTTGGCATCTTCCCCGCAAGTGTCGTAGCCATCGCGTGCCTAGCGTCAAACAAGAGGTTGTTGCCGGAAGCATGTGCTAGCATGCCTCCTCCGGTGAAAGCAAACGATTGGAGGTGTTGCTTCACGGCCGAGAATCCGGCCGTCTCGCTGCCGACTTCCCCGAGAGAAAAGGGGGAGGCTCGGCTTGGGGTTGCATTTCCAACCCAACCACATGTTGCCCTTTTTCTCAGTTCAAACCCCCTTCACTCTAAATCTCAAGTCCTCCGCATGCGAAAACTCGGCGATGCATTGATTCAATACGAAATCTCAAGCGTCATGAGTCTTTTTGGACAGTAAATGATTGAATTATGGTGAAGGGTGCCATCGGCCTCTCCGCTTTTTGACTCGAGGGCCTAGAACAATTCACTGCTCAGCCCTAAAAGGGAGTGGTTTTTTAAACGCCCCTGTGAGGTCGACAGGGGAGTCTTGCCGAAACGCTGTGAAGAATTATCAGGGGCCGCTCGCAATACCACCACACTACCTGTCAAGATCAGACGAACGCCCGTCTGATGACTAGCGCGTCCATATTTGAGAAATGATATGGTCCATAATCCTCCAATGGCCAAAAGAGAGGCAGTTCTTAATGCCTCTTCTGCTCGATTGGGTGTCGGGTACATCGAGAAGGGCCGTTTCCTGGCCCGTGTCGTATGGCGTCGTCGGCTTTTGAGTGTGGGGTAGCAAGGAGACAACACCATGACAAGGGTTGCGGCGGGCAGGCTCCTCGGCCGCCCACGATGAAAGGCCGCCCGCGGTGCGCCCAGCGTGGCATCGCGGCGGGAACACCGATGGACATGGCTAGGTGGTTCAGGGGTTGCTCGCCAACTCAGTTCCAAATTGCAAGAGTGAGCTCCAAGACGACAACACGTGCTCACTAACCACCCTGATAGCACCCCATGAGCTCACTTTTATGAAGTATATAAGACATGAAAGCCTCTGGGTAATGTTCACGGAAAGGGGTACAGCAGCAAGCAACTCCAACTTCATTCACTCTTTACCATTCACTCACTTGACTTCATTCACTCATTCAGTAAGTCTATCTGGTTAAAATACCTCCGCACCCATACCTTTTCTTACACATCACAGTCATGGTCTCCAACAAGTTTCTCACGGCCCTTGCCGTCGGTCTCCCAGCCATTCAGGCTGCTGTCCCAGAGATTGCTGGCTTCACCCTCACCTGGTCTGACGACTTCGTCGGAACCGCCAACTCCCTGCCGAACACTGCCAACTGGATCATCGACAACGGCACTAGCTACCCCGGAGGCCCCGCCAACTGGGGCACGGGTGAGATCCAGACCTACACCAGCAACGTCAACAACCTCAAGCTTGACGGAAACGGCGCTCTTGCGATCACCGCCATCAAGAATACAGCCGGTGCCTGGACATCGGCTCGTATCGAGACCCAGCGCGCGAACTTCGTGGCCGCTGCTGGCGGCAAGATGAGAATCCAAGCCAGTCTGAACTTGCCCGTTGTCGGCACCAATGGCATTGGATACTGGCCAGCCTTTTGGACCCTGGGCGCCGCTTACCGCGGCAACTACCAGTAAGTATTTGATAGTACTTCAAACTCAAGACCATGTGGATTGACAAACATTTTAGAAATTGGCCCTCCATCGGCGAGTTCGACATCCTCGAGAACGTGAACGGCATCAACAAAGTCTGGGGTGTCATGCATTGCGGCACCAGCCCCGGCGGTCCCTGCAAGGAGAAGGATGGTCTTGGTGGAAACCGGGAGTGCCCCGGCACCACATGCCAGGGTAACTTCCACAAGTACACCCTCGAAGTCGACCGCAGTGCTACGCCTGAGGCTGTTAGGTGGTTCGTTGACGACACTCTGTTCTGGCAAGTCACTCAGGATGACCTTCCCGCCGACGTCTGGACGCAAGCTGTTCACGAGCCGCATTTCATTCTTATGAACCTTGCCATCGGCGGCGAGTTCCCCAACAACAACTACGGCAGCACCACTCCTCTGGCCACCACTGTCTCTGGCGCCAGCTTCCAAGCCGAGTATATCGCGGTTTACAATGCCTGAGCTGGGATATGATGTCCATGGGCGACCAAGGCGACGTTGCTTTTCTTCATGGGCGATGATTTCTTCCACATAGAGCTTGCGATTTCCTTACATGATGTGATCTTTCAACTTGTTTGTACATATGATCTTTTACGATGTCGCACGACGGCTGGGGTTTTGTTTCAACTTTTGCGGCTACGCTGGGATCAATAAAAGCGTATGAATACTACGGATACTTTCGGCGATCTTCAGTTAAGTGTAATTACAAAAGGGTTGCTGGAATTGCTAAACAGTTTCTAATGAGTGGCCTCTCATTATCTGGAGTTTGCGATCACGAAGCCCATCAGTCCGTTCCTGGCGCCATGCAACCCCGGCTGCATGATGCTGGCTTGGTGAGTAGCATCAATACCCACAAACCACCCCGAATAGGAAGGTAAATCGACATTTTGCCATTCATCAACGAATCGATCGCAGTAACGGCGCTGGGCATTTCAAGGAAGTCCTCGTCAAGCTAGTCGATACGAGCTTGGCAACGTTCCTCGTATCATCCAGCCTGCATCCTGCTGACCGACAACATGAACACCTAGTACAAGATTCGCATATCTATCTAGTAGTATATAAAGTCCCAAGGATATATCGTTCTCTCAAATGGATCATCCATTGGAAGCTGCTTCCAAGGTGCTGTCGCCATGAGGTTCAAGATCTTTTCGTTGCCAGCCGCGGCCGTTGGACTCTCGCTCTTGTCGACAGTCCCCACCATCGACCCCGCTATCCCCCTCGCCAATCAAAGCTCCGAATCTTCCGAAAACTCCGCGACTGTAATTCCGGGAGCTTTTGTCGTGGAATGGGAAACTGATATGGCGGATGCACCCGGCTTCTATCAGAGTCTTGGGCTGGAGGTTGAGCATCGACTGGATCTCAAATACCAGCTGTTCAAAGGCGCATCTTTCCGCATCGTCAACGGATCAAATGATGTATCCAATGACATCTCTGTGCTAATTGCAGCACGCCCCGAAGTGAAATCAATTTGGCCTGTTAGAATGGTCACGATACCAACAGCGAAGCCACTTTATGTTGGGAAAACCAGAACGACTACCTCAGGGCAGTTTGTTGGAGTAGACAAGCGGCAAACCGAGGAGCCCGATACATACACGCCACACGTCATGACGCAGGTTGACAAGCTGAGAGCTGAAGGATACACTGGCAAGGGGATTCGTATCGGAATCGTTGATAGCGGTGTCGATTACACGCATCCAGCTCTTGGGGGGTGTTTCGGAGAAGGATGCCTCGTCAGCTACGGATGGGACCTCACCGGCGACAACTACTTTCCTCCGAATAGCCCTGAACCAGATGCGGATCCGTATGACGGTTGCATTGGCCACGGAACTCATGTGGCTGGTATCATTGCAGCTCAAGCCAATGAGTTGGGCTTCACTGGAGCAGCTCCAGATGTCACAATTGGAGCTTACCGGGCTTGGGGTTGTAACAGTTTGACAACAAATGATATCCTGCTCGATGCTTTTAATGCTGCTTTCGAAGACGGGAGCGACATCATATCCTGCTCGGCGGGGCAGTACACCGGGTGGGCGAACGATCCTTGGGCCATAGCTGCATCGCGAATCGCAGCAAAAGGCGTGTCCGTGATTGTGGCCCCGGGCAACTCTGGAAGATCTGGCATGTTTCTGTCGGCATCACCAGCGACCGGCTTCAAAGTAACAGCTGCTGGGTCTGTTGATAATATTATCACGCCTCTCTTGCTCACTGCTTGTTCTTATACGGTGAATAACGCAACAGGAATCTCAGAGCCGTTTGGTTTCATCAGCGGTGGGCCGGAGTTCGCGGAAAACATCACCTTGCCGCTTTGGTCTGTGAGCAACAAATCTGACTCTGCGAACGATGCTTGCAGTCCTTTGCCGGATAGCACACCTGATCTCTCGTCAAGGATTGTCCTTCTTCGGGTGGCGGACACCTCGGAATGTTACTCATCTACACAAGCCACCAACGTCGCTGCCAAAGGAGGCAAGTATCTATTGTTTTATAGTCAAAGCAACTTGTAGGTCTGCCCAACAATTCTTTTCTGCACATTACTAACTTTTGAAGCTCTATTGCAACAATCTACGCCTATTCAGATGGCATCATCGGCGTTGGGACCGTCACTCCAGCTCAGGGAGCCACTTGGATAAACCTATTGAACCAAGGTTCGGACATCAAAATTCACCTCGTCGACCCCGCTGCAGCAGACATCCGGTATGAGGCTGTTACCAATGACGTATCTGGTGATCTCACCAGTCTGACCACAGCTTGGGGGCCTACATGGGAGATTGTATCCAAACCTCAGTTCACTGCTCCAGGTGGAAATATCCTCTCAACTTGGCCCATGGTAATGGGAGAATATTCCGTGCTTTCCGGAACTTCCATGTCAACACCTTTGATTGCTGCAGTATTTGCACTTGTCGGTCAAGCGAGAGGGACAACAGATCCTGTCGAATTGCGGAACGTCATCTCATCGACCTCCAGGGCCCGGCCTTGGTTTGACGGAGCGACTGTCCACGGCATACTAGCGCCTGTGCCCCAGCAAGGCTCTGGCGTAGTCCAAGCATACGATGCCGCTCATGCAAAAACGATCCCAAGTGTCAGCGAGATTTCATTCAACGACACAGAAAATTTGGTCGCACAGCATACTTTCAGCATCCGGAACACAGGCGGGGACGCAGTGATTTACAAACTTGGACACACCAAGGCTGCTACAGCCTACACCTTCGCCTCGGGCTCAAGATCTGCCTCTCAGTTTCCGAATCCAACCGTCGACGACTGGGCTGAGCTCTCTTTTTCAACAGAGTAAGTTGGTGTCATCTGCAAGAACCATCCTACAAAGCTGACATGAGGCATAGGACAATAAGTATATCGGCAGGCTCGTCGGCAGAAGTCACTGTCAAAGTGGTCCCGCCGCGGAATGTGAATGCGACGCAATTGCCCGTATATAGCGGCCTGATTACGATCGAAGCCGATAACGGAGAGACGCACAGCATCCCATATATCGGTGTTGCCGGCAGCATGAAAGAAACCCCGACGTTCCTCGAGGGCCCTGAGCATGGAACATTTCTCGGCTACTTCAACAATCCCACCGCTCCCAACACCACGTTCACAATACCCCGCCCTGGCACGACGCCGCCGGGAAGTGTGGAATATCCGAGCATCCAGGCCAGTTTGCACTTTGGAACGCAGATGGCTCGAGCCGATGTGGTGGCTATATCGGAGACGGGCCTTCCCACAACGGCATTCTTCGACATCGATAGCATTGGGTTCCTTTCGGGCTTTCCAGAACCTTGGGTCGTGAGGAGAAACTACCGGCTCGGGTTTACAGGAGAGCTCGCGGATGGGACGGTTGTGCCTGAGGGAACCTATAAAATCGTTTTCAGTGGCCTCCGGGTTTTTGGCGACCGCGGAAAGCGTGAAGACTGGGATTTTGCGGAAACAGTGCCTTTCGTCATTCAATATATCGATTAGAGAAAATTGTCCCAAAGCCTGATGGTGCGGCTGGGATAGTTAAACTAGATCGGCGGATGTGCAGCAATATACCTGTTCTCTAGACTGAACGTGTAGAACATACAATTACATTAGTCCGAGATCAATATGCTTGGAGTATGATTACATGCTCTCCGTTGAACACTCGGGTGGGGCAATCCACCGCTGTTTCCCGCAGTCCGGCCGACGCCATTTTTCGTCTCATGCATGCCTCATCCACAGGTCCAATCAAGTGCTCATGATTGGAGTAGCGTGAACTATGTGGTAAACTTTAGAGACGGTAATGCCGGGCAAGACCGTGACCGTCTGAACTATTTGAAGTAGACGCCCTGCCTGGGGGGCTCGGTCAAGAAGCAGCGACTCAAATGAGAATTTCTCAGATCGGCTTCGCAACCATGGAAGGTATTTCATATCAACTTCTTACTCACGAAACAACCGAAGGCCAAAGAGGCGCCGTTCACGTGAATGGCATGGTTTATGATCTCTGCGATGTGGTCTCTACTACGTGTGTCAGCACCCTTGATGCCCTCCGAGATTGGGATCAGATTAGTTCAAGATTGGAGAGCTTTGTTCTTGACCCAAATGCGGCAAACGTCTCATATCAAGCCCTCAAAAACATCAAGATGTTGGCACCGATCCCAAGTCCGACGACAATTTTCTGTGCGGGAGGCAACTTTACCGATCATCTCGACGAAATGAGCCGCGTTTTGGACGTCAAGCCAGGTCCAAATTTGAAGGAAAGAGGGGAGCCACCTTTCTTCTTTCTGAAGAACACCACAGGAGTTTGCGGGCCAGGATCTATGACGAAAATAGATTCACCTGACCTCATGGTAGACTGGGAACTTGAACTCGTCGCGATCATTGGGCGTGTCGCACGTCGCGTCTCCCGGGATGATGCTATGAAATATGTAGCAGGCTTCACCGTTGGAAACGATCTTTCTTTCCGACGAAACATTCAGCGAAAAGAACTTCGATCTGGCGATGCCTTCAAATTTGACTGGTTTCGTCAAAAATGTTTCGATGGCTCGTGTCCGATCGGCCCGTGGATGGTGCCGACCAACCAGGTCCCGAACATACAAGACCTGGGAATGAAGCTGTGGGTTGACAATGAACTCATGCAAGACACTACTACCGGGAACATGATTTTCTCTGTCGCCGAGCAAGTTGCAGAGCTCTCGCATCAACTGACCTTACACCCTGGCGACATGATTATGACTGGAACTGGAGCTGGCGTCGGGCTTGGCCGCGGGAGATTTCTGAAAACTGGAAACACTGTGCGATGCATGATCGAAGGTATAGGAGAATTTAGCTATTATATTGGATGAGACAACCTTGATTGGTTCTCTTCGAGTACGTCAACTTGGAATAGAGCCTTCAGGGTTTGAAGACTACCACAGATAATCAAGATCGAATTGGACAAAATCCTGGCTTAATCGCGCGCGAGACCCTCAAAGCACCATGGTTCCAGTTCTAGTCCCCATCTGCTACAACTGCCTGCTTTCCACCTTGCTCGGCATCAACTCCTGAGAACCGTGCGAGTCTTACGCCACAGCCTTGGCTGCTTTTCTGTGGACGCATGCCATAAGTGAGTATTCCATTTTGGGTCACTTACGCTCTCGCCTCTACCCAAGATCTTGTAAGATGCCAGAGAAACTACCCGACCACTGCCATCCGGTAGGTCGTCCAACTGATAGACATAGCTTGTAAAGCAGCGGAGGCATTTCCTAGATCTGGTGAGGATGGCTATTCTGTCCGGTCCGTCCTTCTCCTCGTTCGAAGGATCGATCCGGTGCGCAGTGGGCTCGAAGTGTTGTGGTTGTTGTTCCGGCCAAATCTGAGGGAACTCTTCGGTCCAGCGAACGTGGCCACAGCAATTATTCATAGACCGCAAAATGTGTTTCAGGTTTGGTGCGGCCACACGCTGCTTTTGCTCATCACCGTGACATGGAAGCATGGCAATAACTGTGCGAAGAATGAGGTCGCCGTTCCAGATGAGACACCTCGTAGTGTACCGGATTTGCGCATGGCCGACTCGGGAATCCTTGCTTGAGGCGAGCATATCCAGCGAATATCTGTATGTCCTTTGACGATACGATCGCATAATCGCATATACCATATTCCAGTGCATGTTTTCTGGGAGATAAATCGATTGAAACTTTCCTACACGCTCTGCCATTGTCCAAATGACCCAGGGGTTTCCTGAAGGGGGGAGGGAAGCTTGAGGCATATGGTATATGCGGCAAGTATGGCAGGGGACCTTCTTCACCGGAAAGCCGTCGCGCTCCAATATCAGTAGGAGTTCGAATAATGAGCGTCGTCTGTAATGTCGAGGGATTCTGATCCTAGCTTGTGGTACAATACTGCGCTCGTCAATGCAAGTGATGCTCGTGCAGCTGCGGTGAGATGATCCATAATGCAGAGGAGAAGCTCCATCGGCAAAATCTCAATAGTACTGTACCCAGTGACTAGGTAGCCGTTGAATAATTGAGAGATAAATAACGAGCTCAGATGATTTGTTAAAATGTGAAAGATCATTTCCCCCATTTGATGACAGACCATTACTTTAATAAATCAGTCGAACTGTGGCAGTGCATGACGTAGAGGTATCGGAGACACTTAGCGTACTTCTTGGAGCGGCAGATCTAACACTGCACATCAAGGTAACAAGCCATAGTTAAGGGTAATAGAGGGCGGTGTGGTTTTCCGGCAGAATCTCTCTGCAAGCTTAATCATGACTGCCTTTGACGTGAAGAAATTCCTTCTTCATTTGTGATCTAGTGAGACATCTATGGGGCCTTGGTTTTGAATTCGCAAAAACGCACTTTTCAACGTTCACGGCGTCTAATGTGAGAGTGATGGATATTTTCTTGCGTCTTGCGCAGGCAAAAACTCCCAACAAGTTCTAGCGCGAGGAAAAGAGGAACATTAGAACCACCGTCCCGGCTTGCAAAGAGACTTTCTGATAATTAATCTTGTCAACAGCTTTTCTATGTCCCATTAGATTAAGTTTCCGAGATAGTGCGAGTCGCTCGTACTACTCGGTTGACGCACAGTCCATACAGTTGCGCTTTGACGATTTCTACGGAAGTCCGCAGGGACTAGTAGCTTAAAACCCTCTTTTTTTCTACAGCTATAGCTAGTATGCATGCGTATAGTAGTGCCCTCGCTTAAATAAATATATCTAATTAGTTAATCATATATATAGACCTCCTTAATAGCTATTTATAAATCTCCTACCTATACTAGCTTCTACTTTTTTTCTTCCCTTATTAAGATAATAATCTAGTAAGTAAATATTTATATTTATTACTATATAATATAACTCTATTTTTTATATATTTTCTCTCTATTATTCTTATATCTTTATTATACCCCTATATATTACTAATATATACTTTAGTATAATACTAATATATCTTTATTAATCCCTAATAAGGTTAGTAATATAGTATTACTAACTAAAACTCTAGTTATATTTCTATCTAATCCTATTTATAACTATAAAAGCCTTAGTTTAATTAAATACTTATTTATCTATAAGTATATACTCCTATTTATAATTATTTAGAGTAATTTAGTTAATTATATATTTAGATAGTTCTAAGTATATCTCTAAAGCTATTTTTAGCTATTATAACTTTAATAATATAAATATATATTCTATCTCTACTTTCTTTTCTATTATATATTTATTAATATTCCTATATATAGCCTGAGAACTTTATCTACCTCTATCTAATCCTTTTAAACTTAAATAGTACTTATATATTCCTATCCTTTAAATTAAGCTAGTTATAAGTAGCTAATAAAGTATAGATATATATATATAGTGATATATATTAGCATAGGTATAAGCGTATTTAGGGGCGTGGTATATACGCCTATATAGTAT